CCAGATCTCTGGAGGAATACATAGAAAAATCGTCCCCCAACAGCTGCTAACTTTTAAGTGAAAAGAAGACTCTTTTTCCTTTGCTTAGAATGTTACGAACCTTCAGGCTAAAGGTCTCCATTTCAGTTTTCTTTGTCAGGCCAAAGGCTTTGAAGAGCTCCAGTAGAACGGACTGACCTATTTCCATGAAAAACAAGATGGAAAAGTGCCCCTTTTCCATCCCATAAATCCTTGCAACCGGTTTGCTGACATGCTTGAGTGAAAAGGAGACGGTGGAATGGAGAGGCTGGGTTAGGTGTTGGACGTTCACAATCCCCTTTGCACTTTGCACTTGCTCAGTCAAAATCTCTCTTTGAACAGGACAGTTGTGTGGGTTAGCTGCTCTTTTTGGGCAGCAGAGAAAGGTTTGGCCTTTCAGCACCTCCTGTCAGATGGAGTGAAGAAGACGGGGCGGTGGCACAGTTACAACCTTGTGGTTCAGACGTTAAGGGAGGGGCTTTTAATTATTGCCTGAATGATCTTAGAGTTTCTGTAACAGTGAGGTTCCCAGTAGGCGCAGTAGTAAGTAGCAGCATCGTCTGGAATTACATCTTTTATTGTGAAAACACACCGTTTCTGGCCAGAAACTTTTTCAACCATGTACCTGTATGCTTGAAAGCCACTTTCAACTGAAGCTGTCCCTGATGAAAAGAACAGTAGCCTCTGTGGAGCTTTACCCTCCTTCTGATGATACCAATGTATCACAAGGCCACCAAAATCTTCAGAGATATCTTTAAAGTCACATTCCAGGCGTACACTGCCTTTAGCCTTGGGGATTGATATATGGCTCTGCATGGGTAGTTCTTGTGCATATCCGTCTAGGTTGAAAAAAAAAAGAAAAAAGAAAAGAGGTGAAAAGATGTAATTAGGTGTAATGGAGGGATTTGGGGAAGGTGCCTGTCAGCAGAGCCATGGGTGTCTGTGAGGAGAGGTAGGAAAATAGGGAAGGACTTACAAGAGCAAGCGGCTGTGGCCAGAAGCGCTGCCAGCAGCAGCATGTTTGCTTGTCAGGCTCTGCTGTCGTTTGAGACTCAGAGGAGAAGGCAACCGGCCCTGGTGCAGCGTGAGCAGTGGTGCATGGGAGGAGGAGGGGACTTGCTTGGGTGCCAGCTGGAGACCCTGTGTGTCAAGGCAGAGGAAGGTGTCCCCTGAGCTCCTGCGGGAAGCAGTGGGAATGGGGGAGTGAGTGGGAAGGGAAGGGGAAGGGCAAGGGGAAGGGGACTCGCCCCTGCATGGAGCTTTGCTCTGTGGGCAGTCCATGGGTGGCTGTTGTGAAGCTCGGGAAGTGCCGGTTCCCAGTGAGACGTCCAGAGTGTGGTAGAGGTGGTGATACGACTGGGGATGGGGCTCTTAATGGTCCACATCAATTTTATGATCATAAAATGGGCACAGTGATGCCACATGCTATGACAAGGATGAGTCTGGTTCAGGAAACTTTCTGACACCGTGACAGGACCACAAGAGAAGGGTCCCTGCAAAGAATATCAAGGCTGACTGCAGCACTGCAAGTGCAGGAGTGAGGGATGCTGGAAGCCACTGCAGACGGATGGTAGAGAAGAACAAAAATAAAGACGATTCACTGAACTAAGAGGAAACTCTTTGGAACACTGCCATGAGATCCTATGAATAAAGACAGCACATGACAGTACCAACTTCTAGCTGAGAGCTGTGCATCACACCACTGCCTGGCCCTGAAGGTACCAACAGGGTTCAGTGAAATCAGTGAGCGCTTGCGTACTAAACTTCCCTTTGTGTTTAGGACTTTCAAGACCTGGGGCGGATGGTATTTAGTGTTAACTTGCACCCTGCCTGATCTTCTTTCTAAAGTCCCAAAGCTCATTCTGTGTGATGGTCTAGCATTTCAAGTATGAAATGACACCCTTCATGAAGACAACAAAAGCTGATGAGTAGGTGTATATTGGGCTAAAGGCACAAGCAAAAACTGTTCCTCTCAGGCTCTTCTTTGACATGCTTGCTGTGCCCAGGGCCACATCCTAACTCACTGCAAATTTGAAATGAGGCCATCAAACTTGACAGTTTCCTCAAATCGTCTACCTTCCGGAAAAGCCCGTTTGTCCTATTTGCCTTAACATGAAATGAAAGAAGAGGATGGTTCTAAGCATCACATCATCAGCTGTGGCAGATAAGAGACTGTAAATCTCTGAATTATATTGGTCCGTATGGGATTTTGTGGTATCCAGATTAGGTAGACAATATTTCCAGGCAATTACAGGTGCTGACATGTGGAGCAGGCAGACTGTAGTGGGGAACATTTCCTTAGAAGTGCTAGGCAGTGGCAAGCAAATTGTTCCCACCACCAAGGTACTTTCTTCAGCATGTTGTCTTTCTTTTCCTGCCTTCTCTTTTCTTTGGGAGAACAGTGGCTGGACTAGGAAATCAATGCAATGTTTGCTTCCCTCAAGGGCCACCAGACGCCTGCTAGGGCTGTGCGAACAGCACCAAACAAGCAGGTCAGTTTCTAGTATTTCTGTGCTAATTCTTCAGGCAGTGAAGATTTCCTTTGCCCTTAAAATAGCAGATGTGCATTTGAAGACCAGAGTGTTAATGTCAACCCAGACTTTGCAAAGGACAGTTGTGTGGGTTAGCTGCTCTTTTTGGGCAGCAGAAAAAGGTTTGGCCTTTCTGCAGCTCCTGTCAGATGGAGTGAAGAAGATGGGGCAGTGGCACAGTTACAACCTTGTGGTTCAGATGTTAAGGGAGGGGTTTGGGGTTTTTTGCCTTGATGATCTTTGTGTTTCTGT